ACAAATATACGCGATTTAAATCCGGAAAAATAGTTTCATTCCTAAGGTGTTCATGTTACGATAGCAATGCTTTTTTGCTGCAATAGGAAATTTTCTAAATAAAGTTGATTTATTTCCTAAATTAACCATCAATCAACTATGGAACTTTCTAAATTTCATATATCTTTTAAAGTATCATGAACAAATTATATGAACAGTTTATTGCACAATTTTACTGGTCTTGTCTCTCTTGATAGAAAATCTGTCAATTTAATCGATACGGTACGAGACTGGTTACGAATGCATGAAATGCTTTTATGAAGCTTCAGATGTCGTAATTTGAAAAGCTCGCTTATTCAACCATTCTTTTCAGAGGAGAATACGATCCAGCAAAATACGAATATCAAGGCTCACCATCAGAGCAGCAAGGATCCTATGCTGTTGCACCTCAACAGCAAGCAGCCTACGCTGCTGCACCTCAACAGCAAGCAGCCTTTGCTGCTGGCCCTCAACAACAAGGCTCTTTTGCTGCTGCATCTGAACAGCAAGGGTCCTTTGCCGCTGCGTCTGAACAACAGGGACAGGTTGCGCCTGCCCCTGCTCCTCGTGAAGGCAAACAATACTCAAATGCCCAAGTCCAGGCTAGCTACCAAAACGCTCAGCAGTTTGGCAAATATGGTCAACAATCATCATTTGGTCAAGGCCAACAACAACAATTCGGCCAGGGGCAAAAGCAACAACTGAGCCAATCCAGCCAGTACTACCAGAAACAGCAATCTGGACAGTTTGGACAGCAGGGTGGACAACAGGGAGGACAATACGGCCAGCAGAGTGGATATGGACAGCATCAACAAGTTGAAAAACTTGAGGAACCTGAGCCCACTGTACGATGACATTCTTATTATATAGGTTATTTTTTAAATATTAACAATCTTCAAGGACTTGATTACTAACATCATAAACAACAACTTTTGTTCCGCGACACAAAACGTAATAAATATACCAAAAATAAACTTTAAAGTTTTTTATTCGGTAGTAAGGTAGTAAGTTCAAACGTGCAAATGTCCTCTCACAGTTTAGAGCGATCTTTTCAATATGTTTATTTTTCTATGAAAGTAAAAAATGTTGTTGTTTATGATGTTAGCAAAACAGTCCTGTCTAGAACTACTGAGTCGTACATTGCAGTAATTATAGTGAGAAATTGTATAACACTTTGAAGAGATGTAAAGTTTCCATCTAAAGTAGATTACGGTGTAATATACTCAGCTTGAAGATGACCCAAGCACAAAACGGCTTGAGACGGTACTGATAACACAAAAAAATCCATTAGTGACCAAAGGGTTTTAATGCCATGTCAATTGTACCTTACACGTATTGATAACAACAATCAGTTTATTAATAGAAAGATCGAACACTCAGAAAAAATTCCTTCGATCCGGTCGGATTCGAACCGACGTCTTCTTCGATCTGACCAGATCGAAGGAATTTTTTCTGAGTGTTCGATCTTTGTATTAATAATTATAACAAACTAGTGGAGTAATTTCACAAAAAAAAAGAATTGAATGTCAATTCAATAAAAATTTAATTAACAATCAGTTTATTGAGTAAATTAATCCCCGACACAGAAATAGGAGAGTGATAACTTTGGAGCCTTTGTCTGTCGATCTGTTTGTCTGTATGTCCATATTTGGCATTGCAGCTCTCAGTCGCATGGACTGATATCAATTTTTTAAATTGTCAATTTCATTGGGATGGTTTTTAAACTCTATGTGAAGACCGTCGGCTCAGAGACTGTTTAAAGATCATCAGCGCTTTACCCACTTAGTACAGAGCTTTCAATCATACTTTCTTTTACTTTGACTTGCCCGATTGAGTTAAAACGTGATGTACTATGTAAATCCGATGACATTATAATAGTACGGCGACCTCGATTTTCTTTGTAATACCAAGAGCTGGTAGTTACAAGTCGTGCGCTTGATTCTAAGCGACACGCCTGTCCATAACAATTGCTGTGTCACTCAGAGCTTTACACCACAAATATTTCAGGGGTACTGCCACTGCGCCCGTCACCCGCAGATATAAGTTGAAAAGTCCCATGTGCTTGTATTGACTAATTTCACCATCATCTGATGGTGCAACCAGGACAATCTACTGAATACTTCACATCCCAAACATTTTAATGTTTTAATTATTTAATGATTTTATGTACAGGGTCCTCCACGAGGTTTCTTCTACAGCTTCGACTACCCAGTCTCCATCATCGTCCGCAAAGATGCGCAGGGACAAAACGGTCCTGTCAACCCAGGACATCCTGTCGACCACGACACAGTACAACAGGGTTAAATTAAAAAATAATACGATAGTTATAACTGAGGACTTGGGAAGTACACAACACAATCCTAATTTTTAACAAGAACGGACATAAATATCTTGTCAGTTTTGTACCATCATTAGTTCGTATTAAGTACTCAACCACTAGGTTAGAAATACTCAGACTATGTCCCACTATCGTTTGATTTCACCTTCTTATCAGAAGGTGTAACCAAAGATGGTACTCGAAGAATGTGATCGCCTTAGCCAGTTAACAAAATGAAGCCATTTGTATGTTCCACGATTCACGCACTTCTAATACGTGTTTCTTAAGTCATTATGGCCCTGTAGTTGGTAATCAAAGTAGTAATTACTTTCAAATAGGTTTTCTAATTTGTTGACGAAGCTAGGGCAATATGTTTGCCATTTTAGATGTAGGTTATGTTAATATGTATCTGTTCATTGTAGCTTGATACTTCATTGTTTTTAAGCTTTGTCCGTCTACTGTGAATTTTACTGAAATCAAGTCATAATTAGTGGATTACAAACTATGGTTTTAAAAACTGCGGCCGGCGTTTGATAGTGTAACTTGTATTTGGATTTATTTTACCTGTGATATCACAAATAAAACATACTTCAAAGTTTCAGTTGGTTAAACTCTTGAACCCGGTCTCGCTTTACTCGCTGTTTCCTAAAAAATTGTTTCGACGTATTTAATATAATAAAATACATTTTGGAATATGTTTGCTAGTGTTTTAATTAATATTTACACACAGAAACCACGCTTGAGATACAGTTTATTAAATATAATTAGCTGAGCAACAAATAAATTAAATAATTGTAATTAAATCTGTAGCGCCTACATCTATTTGATATATCAGTATTCCTTCTTTCAAAATTAGTTAATAATTTGAAACGGTGATAATGTCTCACCCAAAGGCACTACCAAAATTGGCATCATCGGCTCTTCTTTCCCCTGTAAATGCTTCAAAAACATTTTCATGTTCATACTTTGTGATGATATTTCATCTGTAGGTTTTACAAAATCTACAGTTGTCTGCGGTCTTCTTATTGGAAATCGTTGGCCTATAATAGAAATGATACCGGATATCCAATTAGAAATTCCATTATAGCCCCAGGCTATGGTATCTGGAACGTTCACTTCTATAGGGAGCCATGGAATAGTCGCTATAATACCACCTATACTAAATCTCGATTTAGGTAAGAGTAAAATTGCTTGAGCGGGACTTTCTTTTTCTTCGTTATCAGAATCATTCTTTTCGATAACGACAGAGTCTGAATCTGCGGTTGTATGATCGATTTCGTGTTTCTGTTCGTTTTCATTTTGTTTTTTTGTTTTTGTGTATTCCTGTCTTTTGGTCAAATCTTGAGGGTTTGGTAGAATGATTAACAGCGGTGCCGGTATAGCCCTGTAACATACAGAAAGCAGATATTAGAAATCTGAAATATTTTAGAGAATTTAACGATGCGTATGTAGTAAATTTTTCCTTTTGTTTGCATTTACTCGTTCAAAAGTCGTTTTCAATTTTCTTACTTAACATAATTTAAACTTTAGATCCAATTAAGTACAGTTTAAACGAAATTATTTTTAATATCGCAATTTATTTAAAAAAATATGATAAATGAGTCTGGGATCAGCTACCAGGATCTAAAGGGTACTTAGTCCTTACTGATATTCTGCAATAGCCCATAATAGTTAAACATACTAAAATTGAACACACTCATACCTGATAATAACAATAATTTAAAAAAAATCCAAGATACTCGAGAACAATACGACTCATGAAGCACAAATAATTACAAAACTGCATTTCGAGATTGCTTTTCAAATGACCAATGTATTACCATTTTGTTATGAAATAACGATAAAGACACGACTGTCGTCTCTCGTTATATGAGAAGTTGGTTGAAGCATATTTGAAGCAACTGCGGGCGATAGTCAATGACATGATCGGCTTCTTCACTATGTGACCCCTATCCCGCTGATATAGTTAGCAGTATGTGTTTGCGCCACATGCTCATGATAGATAAATTGGTATATACTCGTCATATACTTAATTTCATATACTTCTTGTATCATTTAAATATGGAATTCAAAAACACGCACATTTTAGACAATGTGAGTTACCCAGTTGTAAGATTCTTAAAATCTTTAGAATCTTCTATATATATATTATCCTAGCTGGTTTCATCTACAGCGACTGATATTGTTTAGAACTAGAGCTACGATTGTTTGTTTTTTCATATACCCTTAGATGGCTACAGTAGCGAATCTTATAAAATAAATGCTTATAAATCTAAATAAAACATTGGCTTTTATATCAGTTATTATGATAAAACACGAAATACTCACATCGGAACAGGCGAATGCATCGTGATGAGATTTTGTAAAACCTGCCACTGTTGGAGCCCCATCATTTGCTGTTGTAGTGCCAATTGTTCAGACTCCAGCATCTCTTGCTGAGCTGGTACAATCGGTGGCCTATGTCTCATTGGTTCCAATTGCACAGAAGGTTGGTGCAATTGTGGCCACTGAAATTGTTGCATCCCCTGGGGCTCTGTTAATTGATGCATTTGTGCCAAAGGATACTGCATCTCCTGTTGCACTTGCATAAAAGGTTGCTGTAACTGTGGCCATTGAATTGACTGCTGTATATGTGGCAGCAAATGTATTGGCGCACAATATAAACATGTCATTTGAAAATATAATACAAATATTGTCACTTGATTCATTTTCCACATAACTATCTATTGGGCACGGTTAATTCTGAATGATACAAAGTAAAGTTTTATAAAAAAATCATGTGTACATTTTTAACTATGACCAATAAAACATCATTTAAAAGCACTTATTTAAGTAAAGTTAATTATCCCAGTTTGGTTTTATTTTATACGAATGTCCTTAAAGTCCATACAGGCTGTTCTTTTATTGGACTTTTTATTTGTTTTTGAACTCAATAAAGTCAAATTCTTTCACTCTCACCGAATCACAGATACCTCAAAATATAATTCCGTATGTAGGTCCACTTTTTACTAATTTGCAAATCTTTTTGGTACCAAAACTATTTAATTTATAGTTAAATTTTCTTTTCCTTTTTCAAAGCACTAGTACTGCTTTTCCAAAGTCGCGGAATCGTGCGGATTCTTTTTGTTCGAGACGAAACCGGTATTGCTCTGGCCGCTGGAACTTGCCAACTAGTTCCTTATAAACAGGAAGCAATGCGCTTGCAAGTACCACTGCTAATATTATCATGCGTGCTGGGTACAACCAGTGACCTACTGACTGGACTCCTGACCTTGCTTCCACTTTCTTTTCGGGGTTCGATTCATTGTTAAACAATGTACTGTCATACGCATTCATCTTTTGTTTTTGCTGTCATTGTCATTAATAAATAAATTTCGATAGTAACTTAACTGTACAAAGTGGTACAGCTATGTGAGTCTGTAAAAAGTAGGGGTTTATGAATATCAAAGTTGATTTTAAGTTTTCGTACGTCCTTATCAATTTTAAATTCTAAACACTATGTAGTAAAGTAAGTATTCAACTTGTAATTTGTAATAGGTCTTAAAACTGTCTGCTTATCTTATCTGTTGGCATTTTAACGTGACCTACTTTAGGTTATGAATTTTAAATGACTGTCACAAAATTTTGAAATTAAATCGGTCAAAAGTGCCAAAGCGGCTAAGTGAAAATCTGTGCTGCGAACGCACTGCATTTTCCAGGAAATTGTGAGTTACTGGCCGTTTTGTTACCGCAGCTAGAATCACACAATGTATCTGTAATACTCAATTTCTTAGATTGTATTAATAATTTGTATGACCTTTCCTTTCTTGTAAGTCTGGCAACGATCCGTCCGATCGCCAAATCCTTTCACCATTGTGGCAGATATTGTAGTGTGTACCGTCGATACGATTATAAGAAGTTTTAATTTTATTTTATTTCGTTGTCTTTTTAATTTTTTTTTTCGTTGCTTCTTTTTTCATTTATAGTGTCGTTTGTAATATAGAATATTTTATTTTCTTACTGCACCTTTTCTATCTTCTAAAATTTATCCAAATATGTATGAAGTCTCTAAAATACGTTACACCGTTTTGAAGGGTGAGAACCGTCGCTTCTTTATTAAGAGACAACGTTGGATTACCTGTGGCGGTATGTATTGGTTTCTTAACTATGCAATCACTACCACGCTGGTATACTTGTCAGCATGCGTTTACGTCTCATGGTTATGTATTGATAAATTGGTGTAATATTACTTAAATATAGAATTAAAAAACAGGCATATTTTAGACAATGGGACTTACTTAGTGTAGGATCCTTCTAATCTTTTAAATTTTCTACAAATCTAAATTAAACATGCGCTTTTATGAGACCTGCCACTGCTGAAGCGCCATTATGTATTGTTATAATGCCAATTGTTCAGCCTCCAACATCTCTTGCTGAGCTGATGCAATCGGTGGCCTATATGTCATTTGTTCAAATTGGACTGAAGGTTTTAAGTACAGTCGTTGTTTCCGATATCCATAACACTAGTGCTTTAGTTACTTACTTTGGGATCAGAGCAACGTATGTTATGTTGTCTAATATATATATATTTATTTATAAAGACAGACTGTCGCACAGCTTCAAAGCTTCAAAGTTTAAACTGCGATGAAAAATAATACTTATTTATTGTGAATGATGTCTCTTGTGTGATATCTCTGGTAAGTTTTTCTAAAAGCTATGATTATAAAGTCCAAATTCGCCTTAGACTAGATAGAAACCTTAAATTTAATAAAAATACCCGTATTCCAGTGGAGATATTTATGCGGAGTTCCCGATGAGTTAGTGGGCGCGGTAACGATGAAAAGGAAAGGCGGGGAAGTGCGGTGGCGCGTCAATTATCTCTTATTAACATTAACTATAATCTGCAATATATTTATGACAAATACTTATAACGACCGTGATTATAGCAATTGTAGCAGGAACTTTCTTCCGTTAATGGGGGCCGTAGCGTGCAGTGGAACTTATCATTATGAATAGTTACGATAGCGGCTTCTTACGACACACTTTCCTACTTACTGTTGCCACTTAAATTTAGAATAGCTCCTTGTTAAGTGTAGCTCCTGGTCGTAAGTATGATCATTAGTTCCAGTCTTTAAGAGTTAACAGACGAAACCAAAAGATGACGGGAGAATGCCTCATATAATTCATGTGTATTTATTTGTGAAAACACTGTGTTTCACTGTGTCCGGTCAATCATTAGGCATACAAATATTCTTCACGCTCATGTACTTCGACAGACTAAATCAGGTGTAACATAACACATGGTTTTTCATTATTCAGCCAATCATTTAAACGTGGTTATAGTTATATGGGTCCATTTTATTCTATTTTGACATCTAAGTGGTATGTCAAAATACGCAAAACATTTTTGTTCTGTATCTTTGATAGTTTTAAGTTGGACCTGAAAATTAAGACAAACGAGCATTAAAAATAAATTTTAGATACTTATTCTTAAAACTAAGTAAATGTTGATTATATTTGTCCATTAATATTATATTATTTATAATATAATATGATCTGAAAACGCAAGCAAATTGCCTTCTAATTATTCATATACTAACCTAGGTAGGTTCCTACGGAACGGAATGGAGGGCGCAACCAAGCAACCAAGATTTATTAGGAGATCAATGTTAAAAGATATACTGGTTATAAATCAATCGTTAAAAGAGAAGACCAATGATAATAATCTCAGTACAGAGTACTAAAAAAACCGACCTCAAAAGTACGTGGAATTACGTCTATTTGCTAAGTTTTATTGAAATATCCCCTGCTGGAGATAATAAAAATTATAGGTTATTATAGGTTCTCACTACGACTCTACTCAAAGTATATTGAGAGAAAAACGCTTTGAATTGGAGAAATAGCAAAATCAACCATTAAAGTAATTGCTCCTAAATGAAAGTTAGGCGCTATTTATAAAAATGAATCTTCATGCGTGAACAGCCATCCGTCGAGGTGGACGATTTTCTTCAAAATGAAATGGGACCACTATGGAAGTACCCCCTTTCCAACAAAAAAAGAATCATGAAAATCGGTTCACAAATACCGGAGTTATCGCGTAACATACATACAAAAAAAAGAACATACAGTCGAATTGAGAACTTCCTCCTTTTTTGAAGTCGGTTAAAAAAGGGGATCAAATATTAATTTTTAATACCTAATATTAATTGAGTATGCTTAAACATAATAATTGTGTTACCTTGAATGCAGTTCATTTATAATTTATCCGTAGATCAACTAATATAGATGGACGAATTAATTTATAAATAAAACATAAAAAATATGGTTTATTTAAAAAAGTGCATTTACAATAGATCAATTATTCATTTCAGGATCAAATAATATTATCCCAATTAAATACTTATACAAATGTCAAAAATTAGGTGTATTTGTCATTTAAAAATTCAGACACTGCATATTTTTTAGTTAATAAGTTAAATAGCGTAAGGTTTTACTCTAAGACCTGTATGTACTTTTGGTAAATTATTGCAAACTTTTGGCGCCATTACAAAAGTACTTTTCTGCATGAAGATAGTTTTGACAAGCTTTCAAATGAAGTTGATCATAACGTTGAACAAGTGTGGATGCTTTCGAGCATCTACGACAGTTTCGTAGATAAAGCGACGGAACAATCAGTAGTAAAGCTTTAAAATATAAGCAATTCACATGTAGTAACTTAATAATGCCATGCATCAAACATGGTTTGCAGCTATCTATTCGCTTCAATCGACAAATTGCTTTAACACATCTTTTCTTAGTACCTTAAAAACTGGGTTTACATTAATTGCATTGCCCCAGAATATTATACCGTATCTTAATATGGAAGCAACATAACCGTGGTATGCTTGAAGAACCGAGTTTCTGTCTACAATTACTATGCCAAGTATGTACAATGTATATGTATAAGTGTTGAGTTCAGTGCAAAATATATCTAATTGTGCTTTCCAGCAAATTTTGTCATCAATCTGTATACTTACGAACTTTGTTATATTTGTGTCTCCGATGTGTGTCCCTTTATATTCTATGTTTATCTTAATAGCTATTTTTCTCAGAATAAAATTCACGAGTTTTGAATTTTCTAAATTGATTTTCAAATTATTTTCTTGAAGCCATTCTTCTATTATTGAATTTAAGATTGCATTTATTTCATTTTCTTTAATATATGTGATTTAACAATCGTCCGCATAGAGTACCATTGGGTAAAATGTGTAATAAATGTGAACCATGTATAATATTTGCTATTAACATTTGTATGCCAGTTACTGGCGCAACACGCTGAACCATAAGTGTAATCTTAAACATGTAAACTGTATTTACCGTGTATGCTTACAAATAAATATATCTATATCTCTATCTATCTCTATCACTTTATTAATATACTTCTATGTTAGGAAGAGCAATGGTCCCAAAACACTTCCTTGCGGTACTCCATAGATTAGAATCATAGTTACAGTCCATTTCCGTTCTTGTCTTAATAACTCTTTAAACTCTTTAAACGTGGTTATCATTTTATGTATGTTGCCCCTTACGCCATATGAAAGAAAAATTCAAAAAAAATCACAGTCCTTATTGTTTTGTCCGGCCCGCATTGAGCCATCTTACAAATATGATCGCATTTTTAAAGGAGGGAACTACTGCCACCTTACCTATTTCTGTCGTTCCTGTTTTGAAGAGTGCTGGTGATCTCTACGCCTTTGATGTAATAAGGTTAAATCTGCAAAATGACACTTTTCAGGATAGGTTTAAAGATTCTACAAACGAAATCAGTCGAAATTATTTTATGCTTTAATCGGAGAGTTATAAAATTCCACATATACATAATTTGTTTCATTTACTTCGCATTATTTTTATGACTATCATGTGACAAAAGTA